CTTTTATCCAAAGCGATGTACATCAGAGAGTAAATTCAACACAAGCGAGGATCTAAAGAGGAGGAAACAACGCCAGGAAGTTCAAACAAACAGCTTTGAGTCTGATCAGACACACAGGGGCTGACAGGAAGTCACCAGAGGTGCTGACAGGAAGTGACCAGACACAAAGCACAACATCGACAATATCCATCTGTCTGTCTATCTTTTTCTCATATTATTATTGGACAGACAATACCAGCTGTTATCCTTGATCAATTCATTCAAACACTTGAGACACCTGATCACTGTTACTACCCTTATCGTCGTTAAAGCTACTTAAATGAAGTTTAATTTTCTGTGGATCTTGGACAGCCCCGTCGAAACAGCATTTGGATCCAGCTTCAAATATGCAGACCTGTTTGAAAATCCCCTGATGGAGGTGTTCAGTAAAAGTCCTCTCTGCTAACTCTGGGGTCAGGAGGTTCAGGACAAACACTCTGATAACACTTATAAAGAACAAAGACCTTCTTTGTAGTTGTGTCGCAAACAGGTCGTCTGTTCTGCCGTTTCACACACTTGAACTTCTACAATTTTTCCACTGAAGTCTTGAGACATTCAAGGTTGCACTAAGTTCATTCAAGTCGAACCCCCGCTGCACTTAGTTTGACCTCTGTGCACTTTTGACTCAACACTGAAGCCTTCCTTCTTCTTCTTCCTTCACATGGAAACTATGATTAAACAAATAGTGTAAAATACTTTTATCTGCAAATCGGCCGAGAAGACTGAATCTCTCAGGATTTATTTCACAAAATGAGGACAAATGATGAAAAAGATTCCTTTAGGGCTGCTAACACGCTTGTCAGTGGTTTTTTTTCTCAACAAGTGGAGGTGATTGGAGCTTCTCGTGGTGTGATTAAATGCTGCATCATGTTGGTTATCTGCACACAGTTTTTGTCTCGTCTGTTATCTTCTCACCTCTTTCATTTTCTGTCTCGGGGAAGCCAAAATGCTTCCACACCTCCGATTTAAAAGACGGTAGTGCGTCCTCAATTTCTAAATCTTGCTCTGCAAAACTTTACAAGATGTTGGTAAAGCGGTAAAAAGTCAAACTAAAACATTCATGAACTTTAAGAACTGAGCATTTGTTTAACTGGTTTTTCTCTTTATTTTTAAGCACTATATCTTTTTTCACTAATTAGTTCAAACTAAATTAAAATAAAAGATCCAACAGATTAATTCAGGTCAGCTCCTTCTTCCTTACGAGAAACCAATGTGTCACAAACATTTTGTTTCTCACATCGAGGGAGCTGAAAAAGTAGCATCCTGCCTGCCGTCCTCCTCCGTGTGAAGCAAACGGTGATTCACTAGAGATAATAAATATCTCTGGCTTTGGAGAAGATCATGAATTTGGTTTTGTTGGCATTAAGGATAATCCAAGGCTGATTAATGCATTCTGAAGACTTAATAGCAAGTTGCAGTAAGCTCCACAGAGTCAGCAGGACAATGCAGAATAGTACCATGAGTTTAAAGATGAATATTACAGTCCCTTATACAGAAAATCTTGTTGACATAGATTGTAAAAAAGACAGGTTGATTCAGGTTGATTTCTTTTTCTGAAGTCTACCATAAAGATGCTTTGCATGTGGAACATGCAAATTCATATCCTTAATAACCGAGAGCCCCAGAGGACACCATCAGACAGAAGACGCAGCAAACAAACGTCTCTCTGTTGCCATGACAACGCTGAGTGTTGATGTTTACCTTCTGTTGCTGCAGCTCTCTGATCGTGTCCTGGGCCTTCTCCAGACTCTCGCTGGCGGTGTTGCACTGCTGCCTCACCACCGCCAACTCGCGCTTGATCACGTAGTTCTCCTCGGCTTCCTGCGCCCGCGTCACCTGACCCTGAAACAGCAGGAGTCCAGATTAAAATTACAGAACATATAACACTGTAGGGGGAGCGGGTCAGTCTTGGTTTGAGGGGACTGCAACCTCATGCTTTCGGGGTTTTATCTGCATGCTGATCAGAGGATGATTTTAGTCAAAGTTCAACCCGCCTGTCGGCTTTCTATCAGAGAGCTGGTCAAGAAGATCAAACTACTCTCGTCCATTTAAAAGGAAAATGGAGACTGAAGCTTGTTAACAAAACATATAATAAAGACTGAGAACAGGAGGTCACAGTGAGCCCAGATCTGTCTGAGGGTAAGTACAGTTTCTATTCTTCGTGTGCACCTTACCATACTTTGGAAAAAATTTGTGGACAAAAAGAATATGAACGTCCAAATTTAGATTACAAACAAAAGGAAATATGGCACATCAAAATGCTAAGTAAGCTACTATATGTGCTAAAATTGTTGATTTCTAAAAGGTCACTTAATGAACTTCAATGAGATAAAGAGGACTCCATTTATTTTAAGGTGATCCCCTATTGAGGCCACACAACCCTTTTATTTTTACTTCTTAGCCATTCTTCTGAATTGCTCTTGTGCAGGTTGATTTCTTTTTCTGAAGTCTACTATAAAGATGCTTTGCATGTGGAACATGCAAATTCATATCCTTAATAACCGAGAGCCCCAGAGGACACCATCAGAGAGAAGACGCAGCGAAACACCTTCAGCTCTAGCTACATTGCTGCAACCATGAAGAGTACGATATTCTTTGTCTTTATCTGTGCAGCTGTTGAGGGTTCAGGAAAACACCATTCTTTTCCTCAAGAAATGACATGGTTTGAGGCTCAGGCTTACTGTAGAGAGCATCACACTGATCTGTCCTTTGTTAGTCACGAGAAAGAGCAAGAAATGCTCCAAACTGCTACAGGTGAAAGATTCTTGCTTGGATGGATCGGTCTCCACCGAGATGCCGTCAAGCGCTCTGTCTGGAAGTGGTCAGGAGGTGGAAACAGCACATACTTTAACTGGGCTCCTAACCAACCAGATGACTACAATGGAATTGAGAATGTTGTAAATCTTAAATCTGATGGAAAATGGAACGATGGAGACCCATCAATTTTGCTGCCTTTTTACTGCTTCAGTTTAACCGCAGTGGAGGTGAAGAAGACCTGGGAGGGGGCTCTGGAGTACTGCAGAGAGACTCACACTGACCTCACCACCCTGCAGTCTGACACCGAGCAGCTCCTGACCCTAAACGAGATCCGCCACGACCACATCACTGGTAGGGTTTGGATTGGCTTGCGTTTTCTTGGGGACCACTGGTTGTGGGTGAACGGTGACCCAATGGTGTACGAGAACTGGCGCCAAGGAGACCAGGAGCACCAGTGTCCTCTCAGGAAACGCTGCGGGGCTCTAACCAAAGAGGGACACTGGGAGAACTGGGACTGTGGGGAAGAACTCCACTTCATCTGCTACTGAGAGAGTCAGCATTTCATATTGGGTAATACAGCTCTAACTGTAGGATTTCTACATAGAATATGTACACATATTTAAATAATTTGTGTATTTGAAAATTATTATTGTGTGTTGTGTTTGTGCATATTAATATGAAATACTACTGAGATGACTTTGGAATCCTTTTTAGAATAATACTAATGACTAAACATTTTGGAAACCTAAACTTTGTGGTTGTGTTTGTATCTCTAATAAATTTCCCGTCTCTGATTAAAGAACGTTGCAGGAGCCTCATTTGTCAACAGAGCTGTCAATCATAACATTACATCCGCTCTTTTCTGCAGCAAATGCTAAATGCTCTTGACCTTATAAAGCACATTTCTAGTCTTCTGACTACTCAAAGCGCTTTTACACCGCAGGTCACACCTACACATTCACACACTGATGGTAGAGGCTGCTCTGTAGTGAAACCATCAGAAGTAACTAATCCCATTCATTCGCATTCATGTGCTGCCGCTGAAGCAGCGAGAGCAATTTGGGGTTAAGTGTCGAAGGACACATTGGACATGTGGCTGCAGAAGCTGGTTCTGGTTGAGAGACGACGACGACTCTACCAACTGAGCCACAGCTGCCCAAATCACTTATTCAAACTGCATTTCTCAAAAAAAGAAACAATACTTGGAACAAAAATCAACAAGATAAGAACTAGCCATGAGGACAGTTTGAGAACATTTTATTTGACATGTATAGAAAGGAGGTAAAGCCATTCTTACCAGTGTCTTGATTTGGTATTCAAATGAATGCAAATTAGTTATCTTGACTTTTAGATGTATTATTTGAATAAGTGCTGCACTGCTACACCAGTGTGGTCTAAAACCATTACTTGCACACATATGGTTTCCACTTTTGTATGAGACTGGTGTCCTGAGATCCAAACATTTATGGATAATGCCTCCTAGTGTCCAATACAAGGAAGTGCATGTTTTTACGGATGGATTGAACTCTGATAGAAACCACCTGTAGCCATGGGGGAGAGGATTTTGGCATCCTGCAGTTTGGAGTATGGTAGCTTCTGAATTGCAAAGTGCCTCCACAGTCTGACAGTATACAGTCCCTTCTTAGTAGGCCGATATTTGTTCCTACTTCATCTGATTCATTCAGTGTGGAAGTGGTGTCATTAGCCCTCCTCATGTTTGTGACTCCAACTCAGATGTGATCTGCACGATGGCTCAGTAAATAAAAGAAAACTTCACATTGCATGTAAACGATTTAAGAACTTAACATTTGAAATCCGCGTTACCCGAACCGGCCGCATCCATCCTCGTTTGTTTTGATTTGGAGGCGCACGTGAAGTGACGTTTTACATTTAATTTTGCACAGCATTGTGGGTGTTAAAATACAACTCATTTCCTGAAAGGATGCATCCAAACCATACTGCACCAAACCTGGAAGTTAGCATCCATGCTGAAATGTTCAGTCTACTGAGGTGGACCCAAAAAATGCCCTCTTAATGATCACGAGGGTTCAGTCTACTGAAAAGTCCGCGCTCCATCCTGAACTGTGGCTTTTCGAAAAGGGCCAGTGAGTTTGGAGAATATGAAACCGATAGAGGATGACTGTGTAGATTCAGAATTTGTTAAAGTAGATAAACAAGTTGTTTTTAATCAAACAAACTCACTTGACAATCAACACAGGAAACTGAATCAAAGAAAATAGCTTGTTAGCTAGTTAGCAGCCTGTTAGCTAAGCTAGCACCAGAAATCCTTTCACTTGATACTTGTCTGTCTTTTAATAATGTTACATGCTTCATGCATCCATAACAACTGAAAAATGTACGGTAATGACATCACAGCATATGTTGTTAAATTTGAAACTTTTCAGTAGTTAAGGACGATAATGAAATGGGTTGTTTATCAATTTATCATTAACTGATATTTAAAAACAACGCACTGTAAATCAGTCTATCTTTTCTGCCTCTTTAAAGAGCAATATGTAACTCTGACTCCAAATCCAAAACATCATAGAGAGCTGTCTCCCCCCCCTCCTCTCTAGAGTCAATGCTCACACAGGTCACCATGTGGTGGACTCTGAAGCTTCAGTGTTTATCCAGCTCTGCATGGGTCTGTAAACCTTTCTGTGTTCTAACCTCTCTTCATTTTTCAAAAGCATCTCCAATATTGATCCTAGTTTGAGCACGTTTCTGCTCGTGGAGCTAATTAGAAACATGCAGAGGCTTTTTAGGTCGGGTACAATCACTTCTATCTGAACCACTTCTCTTGACCCGCTTCCATCACTGCAACACCTGTTGACCTGATAACTGCTCTCATATCTGACAAACCGAGGGGCGTCCAAAACGGCTGTGTGGGGGCGTGTCTTAAAACCGCCTACCTTCTCTGGTCCAAACAAATCCAGAGCATTCAGGAGCAGAATCTAAAGTTAGAAGGAGGACATACTGGCTGCTGCATTGTTGTCAGAGAAGCCAGCACTTCAACATAGCATGTTTCCTTAATGTCTGATCAGATAGTAAGGTCACTACACAGCTCACTGATTGGACCTTTGGATTTATTTTGTACAAACCTGATCTGTCAATTTTTCCCTTTCTTAGTTTACAAATCTTCCAAAGTGTCAAACAGGGTGTTTCATTTATATTATTAATCAGTACTGATAATGAAAGATTGTAACAGTTATGCTCGTAATGAGGAAACGTTTGCATGCCACATGCGGGGGCTGTACAACCTGAAATTAAAATGAACATCATGGATAAAAACAGACATGCATTCAGGGGGTTACAAGGCGAGGCTGTGGACAGAACAGATATCAAACAATATTCTGTCATGCACGTCTGGCTGGTTATTGTTAAGATAAAGGAGAGCAGCAGAGCAGGAGGAGGAGCAGGAGGAGGAGGAGGAGGAGGAGGAGGAGGAGGAGGAGGAGGGAGGTCAGTACTCTACCTGTATCAGTCTGTCTGCCAGAGCTGCACTCTCCTACAGCGCAGCGACGCAGAGGAACGAGAAAGAGAGATGAAAGGAAGAGAGAGACAGATAAAAACACAAATACACCAGAGAAGAGAGTCAGAAGAAGAAGAGAAAAAGCAGGATTACAGGTTCTGAAGTCGATTATTTTCTTTTGTAAATATGTAGAAAAGTGAAGAGAAAACTCAGAGAAAAAAGAAAAAGGTACTCCAGAGAGGACGAGAAAAATGGCTGTGGTTGAAAAAGCAGAGAGCGTACAGTAAGAGGGAAAATCCCGCTTGAAAAAAGAGTCATGAAGACAAGTAGAGAACACACACACAAATGCTACGAGAGCTCCAGGAGACGCAATCCACCGACAGGAAGTGAGCTCACAGTATCTCTACAGCGTCTGGTTTCAGTGTTTACGTGCTGTAGAAGAGATCACATGATCCTGATTTCAGTTTAACATTTAATCAAAGCTGATCTCTTACCTTCTCCAGAGTCTCGATCCTTTGCTTCAGCAGCCGGTTTTCTGTGCGTAACCTCTGAGAGAGAGAGAGAGAGAGAGAGAGAGAGGAGAGAGAGAGGAGAGAGAGAGAGAGGAGAGAGAGAGAGAGGAGAGAGAGAGAGAGAGAGAGAGAGAGAGAGAGAGAGAGAGAGGAGAGAGAGAGAGGAGAGAGAGAGGAGAGAGAGAGAGAGGAGAGAGAGAGAGGGAGAGAGAGAGAGAGAGGAGCGAGAGAGAGGAGAGAGAGAGGAGAGAGAGAGACAGAGGAGCGAGAGAGAGGAGAGAGAGGAGAGAGAAAGGAGAGAGAGAGGAGAGAGAGAGAGAGAGAGAGAGGCGAGAGAGAGGAGAGAGAGAGGAGAGAGAGACAGAGGAGCGAGAGAGAGGAGAGAGAGAGAGGAGAGAGAGACAGAGGAGCGAGAGAGAGAGGAGAGAGAGACAGAGGAGAGAGAGAGAGGAAGAGAGGGCGTTCAATTTTTAAATCTGAACAAATACACGCACGTACGCACACACACACACACACACACACACACACACACACACACACACACACACACACACACACACACACACACACACACACACACACACACACACCTTGATCTCTATCTGTTCCTCCATTTCTTTGTTCTTGATCGTGGTGTATTCTTTCTCCAGTCTGTTTAAAACATACAAAGTTACGTTCTGGTGCTGAAACATTGAAATGTTTTCATGAAGAATCTTCTTTTTTGCATGTTGCTGATTGCTCTGGTTAGATGAGTAATGAGCGCTCTTACTTCTTCATCCTCTTGGGGTTGTATTTCACCTGGTACGCCCTGAGGATCAGTTTGTCCGGGCAGCTGTCGAACTGGTGGGGGATCACCTTCTGGAAATGCTGGCAGAGACCCCCCCCCAAGAAAGAAACACGCGAAATGAACGCCCAAGACTAAAACAAAATGTGCTCATTTATTTTTAATGAAGACGCAGGCAGACCTCATGTGGAGGCAGCTGCTCGATTCATCAAGTTAATATTTAACATGTTAATAAACGGTGAAAAAAAAAATGGAGTGGAGGTACATGGCGCTCTTGAACGGCGTACTGCACGTACAGATAGACACAAAAGAAACGGGTATAAAAGGTGTTAAAGGTTGATTTCAGATTAGGGACCCGGGCCTGGATCTGGAGTAATTCAAAACGGCTCCTGTTGCAGCAACGGGGCCCGTTTCATCACCTGAGCTGCACGGTACATGTGAAAGTAGTTAGAGGGTCGTTGTTGGCAACCTCAAAAATCACAAATTCATCCACGGATAACAGTATTGACAAAGCCAGAGAGTGGTTGCCATGGTTACTTCTTATTTTCTCTGTTTCTTGTTTTTTTTGGGGTCTTTTTGGGCCTTTATTTGAGAGATAGGACGGTGAATAGAGTCAGAAATTGGAGAGAGACAGAGAGAGAGAGAGAGAGAGAGAGAGACAGAGAGAGAGAGAGAGAGAGAGAGCGAGGGGGGAAGGACATGAAGGACAGGATACCACAGGTCGGATTTGAACCTGGGGCCGCCCGCTTGGAAGACTACAGTTTCCATGCATGGGGCGCGCGCACTAACCACTGCACCACTGCACCACTGCACCACCAGCGTCCCCACTTCTTCTTTCTGCTTTTTGGCAGATTTGCAAACCAACTTGCTGCTGTATCGGACTGTGTGCATATATAAGTGTACTCAGGCATGGAACGATGTTACTGATGTGAACGCAGAGCAGCGGAGGGAGAGGGAGAGGGGAGGGGGGAGCAATCGAGCTCAGGCATGGTTCAAAACAACGGCCAAAGAGAACAAAGGTGCTCTGGTTTCCGCTCTGATGTGACAGAATGAAGCTGATCCACGGTGCTAAATTAGGGGATATATTGTTTGCCCTGCAGCTTTTTTCTGCAGCTGAAACATTTCTGCAGGAAACAGCATAAAGCCGCTGCATCTTACCTGTGACATGCCCTCCATGTCCAGCTGAATGAGGTCAGTCTGGTTGTACTGCAGGATGGCCAGGCCCACACGGAAGATAATCTCTAAACCCTACAGACAGGTCAGATGTATTATTATCTGTGCTGAGCTGCAAACACAGATTAGTTCAGCAGAACACACAAAACATTAAATACAGTTTAAGACGGTCACTCAAATGTCTCCTACCTCGTACATGAAGATATCAAAGATGCGTGTGGCGACAGGCAGGGGGAGGAAGGTGAGGAAGAGGGTGAGGAACCAGGACGAGGCGTACATGGACGTGTGGAAACTCTGGGATCGAAAATGGACGTTCAGCTCTGGAAGTTGTTCCTAAGAAGAAGAGAAAAAAAATGTAAAGACAAGAGGCAAAATGAAGAGATGTAAATTAAGTATTTGCTGCCCCCTAGTGGAGGACTTTAAACACTGCACGCATTGTGTTTCCTCTTTACCTGCAGCAGATACTCAAACTGGTAGATGCAGAGGCCCAGCTCGGCCATGCTGGGTTTGAACAGCTCCCTCAGACGGTACTCCTGCATCAGACGCACAAAAACACAAAACGCCTCCTCCTCAGGCATCTGGGAGGAGGAGAGGGGGGTGAGTAGAGCTCCCTCAAGAGCCATTCAGATACTTTTCAACACCACGTGTTTTTAAAACAATACAATCTAGCTACTCAATATTGGTTGCTAAGGAGTTGTATATTTGTTGCCATGGTGTTGATATAGTTTTTTACCAACATCGTATGGAAAGTTAGAAATCTGGTATTGTCTCTGGTCACCTCTGGAGACAACTGAACTGCCTTGTAATAAAAAAAAATTTTCACCTGCTCCACTTTTCAGAAAATGTGTGCTCAAACAGGCTGTTTGGAGATTTTCCCTTCATGACATCACAAAGGGCAGTAGCCCCTCCCCCAGGTGGGTGACACTCCAACAGCTAGGTGTTTGTTCTGCCCTCTGAGTCTGACTTCTCACCGTAAACAATAGGACATGGAGCGAGAAAGTCCTTCCAGAGAGGGGGTGTGGTCAAACACAGCTCATTTACATATTTAAAGGTACAGACACAGAAACAGCCTGTTCTGAGCAGGGCTGAAATAGAGGGGTTTATAGACATGATCAAATACAGGATCAGAGTGGATTTAGAACAAGAAACTTCACACACATGTTTTGAGGAGCTCTGAGAGTTATTTACACTGGTTGAAGAAGAGAAGGAGAATATGAGACCTTTAAGGTAAAATATACTCATTAACTATTCACCTGAACTATTGAATCATTACCTGCATGAGCAGCAGCCCCACGATGAACGCACTGCCTTGGCAGTAGCCCACCTCTCGATCCACCAGAGAGTACGCCTGCAAAACAAAAATAATAACATTCACTGCTGTCGGGCTTGAAAGCAGCACATGATGATGTCTGTAATCCTGATTGAACATTCGGACAGAGAGCAGCGAGTCCTCAGAGGTCTTTTCATTTCCTGCAGCCAGGCAGTTATCAGAGAACTATCACAGGACTGACGTGGGGACCATCAACAACCCTGTTTCCATGGTTAAAAACAACACTCACTGCAGATTCTGTCTCACACATAAGAACAACATTAGGACCAGAACCTCTGCTTTTAAGATTTCCAGTTATATAAATAATCATTTAAAGGTCTATTTTGTTTTTTTTTATGCCTTTAATTAGAGTCAGAAAACTACAGAGAGAGAGAGAGAGAGAGAATGAGATGCAGGAAAGGAGCCACAGGATTCAAACCCGAGCCGCCTGCTTTGAGGACGACAGCCTCTGTAAATGGGGCACACGCGCTTCAGAGTTGAAGATATATCTTTAACCAAAACTGCTGCGAGTAATTTTGCACTCTGATCAGTTCCTTTCTTTTTATCAGTAACATTTTGGAGAACTTTCTTGTCTTGCTGAAACAAAAAAAAAGGTATTTAAATCAAATAATTATCATCAAAACTGCAAGTTAGATTTTCTGGTTTAGTCTATTAAATGTTGTGAACATCTTAAGACTCTGAACAGGTCCCACAAAAAAATTTGTGTCTTTGGTGTCAGAAAATATTTAGGAATCACAATTTTTCTCGAATAACAAGGTGATCTGTTTGCAACCAAAAGTCCAAATCTCAAAGACAATCCGTTAAATTAAACTAACATTACTTATGGCGCATGGCAAAAAGCTGCTTCATATTATGTGGATAGAATAAAAAAAGTAGTATGGTCAAATCTCAGGATTTAAAAAAGTTCAGATCTGAGGTACAGCAGCGCTCTCACCTTCATGACGTTGAAGAGGACCTCCTGTCCCAGGCTGTCCTGGCCTTTGAAGAACTCGTGCTCGGGGTAGGTGCGGGCGATGTCCCGGCGGATGAGCTTCTCGCAGGGCGACGACATCTTCAGCAGCTCAGAGTACTGGTTCTTCACTGGCATGTCGGTGGCGTTACCCAGCAGCTGCCAGACGATGGCGCGGAAATGATGAGGGATCCCCTTCCTGATCAACTCCTGCAGAAGAGGGGTGAAGTATGTGTTAGTTTCACATGTGGTGTCTGCATCAACTGTGAGCGCTGCTGTGCTGAGGTGTAAAGATAAGGGCGGCCATTTTCCAGGTCAGGAGTTTTTACAAGCAGAATGGTGAAGCCGTTCCTCACAGTAGGTTGTGTTTGTGTGTGACATACACTGAAGAAGGGACTACATTCACAGAAGCTGTTTTCACATCTGCACTCCTGAAAATGTCCAGAACATCTCAGGACAGGCTGCACCTGAGATCTTCCCGAGTAGCCGGTTCACACATGCACCCGACAGTAGTGGACCTTTTGTCTTTTAACATCCCAACAGAAAAGCACACACTAGTTCTTACCAAAACACACGTGACTGTGGGGCTGGCAGTGAAAAGTCTTTTGTTAATATCGTGCATCACTTCTCACAATACTTCCTGTCCCACTCATGTTTTGTACTTTTCAGGCAGCTTGTGACAGATTTCTCGATTTGTCCATGCGGCCCGTTCCGCTCCCGAGTCATTTTTGCTTCCCCGTGTCTCATCCATCACGTCTTCCCCTGGGTGTTCTCTCTTTGTCACCGAGGAGACAGGGAGACGCAAGAGGCGCTGAGGAGAAAGGGACGTGTTGGGCGCAGCGGGGCCTTCAAGTCATTGGCACGATCATATTTTGAATCGTCGCAACACATGCAAACAGATTGAGACAGATCCCAGGCTTTCTCTGCAGAGGAGCGTCAGCAGGAATAAACCGTCGGAAAACACTGAGCAACTTGTTTGTGACACGCATATGCTCGCAGCCAGAGAGGGACGGACGCAGTGACCTTGTGAAAAGTCCGTATGTGTGGATGTAGAGGGAGGGGCAATGACTCAGGGGTTTACTGCACCCTGTTGTGTTTTGTTACATAAAGAGATCCGCCAAGAAGATGTGAAATAAAATGTGGAGGTCGCTAACCTTCTTAGGCCCCGTGTCCACCTAGCGTTTTTCCAGGAAAGCGCTGGCTGTGCGCTTGGAAGCGTTTGGTAAAAGTGTTCAGCGCTGACAACAAAAGTGCTGCATGTGCATGTTGTCTCTATGAAAACAGTCCATTAAAGGCTTTATATGTGATTTTTTGATCCAGCAGATGTCGCCCTTGAGCACCAGCATGAAACCAAAACAACTCGTGCTGCATTGTTGTGTTAGCATGCTAATGCTAGCGATCTTTATTCTGCTGGTATCTTCACACTGCATGTAAATTTACCTGAAATGAGCGTGATCTAGAAACACAGTTAAGCAGTGAGTACAGTATGTTATTCTTCTTTTCTCTACTCCCTCAATTAAACAACTTTTATACACGAGGGGAGGAGTCAGCCGGCCGTCCGGGCGATGTAAACAAACTGAAGATAGGACTCTGAAAACTCTGAAAACATCACAGACAGTGGGACTCGGGTGTTACACCCATTGTAGACAGTCATGACTCACAGAGTTATTTTCAGAGGATATACTTGATTTATATTATATTTAAGTGTGAAAAAACACATAGAAAGTTTTTAAAAACAGTCACTGTATGACCGACACTGCTCGGTAGGTTTTTACTGTATTTGTTTATATTGTGGACTCATTTTTCCTCTTCACTGTGAGCATCAAATGGAGTACGCTTGCCCTCATACTTAATCTGGACACAGAGCGAGGAGAATTTGAGTGCAGGGCGCGATCAGCAGGAGACAAAAATACGGGTAATATCGTACATTTTTAAAAAGAGTGCCAGTGACGTCAACAGCGCCTTCCTGAGAAGTTGAAAGATTTACAAGTTGAAGCGTTCGGAGGGTCGTACAAAAAAGGCAGAGCGCTCAGAAAGAAAGCTGCTATGCGCTGCGCTTCCTTCCAGGCGGCCACCTGCTGTTTCAAACACTCTCTTCTTATTGACAACAACTGAAAAAAAGACGCTGGAACTCAGAAAACAACAGGGTCGACAGTCTCGTCTCTTCACACTGTCAGGAGCAAACAAGGTCATCTGTAGTGACGTTAAACAAAACCAAATTGACCGGAGATTGTTCCAATAATGATTTTTCAAGGCAATTAAAATTTGATTAAAAAAAGGAACATCTATAATTGACAATAATTGTGCCCAGCTCTGTGTAGCGTACGTCGTATGGTATCCATACCTTCAGAAGTTTGTCCTTCTTGCGTCTCCACTCCTCCCACTCGTTGACGATACGGCCCCACAGGATCCAGGTGTCCTCCTCCAGGTGTGACAGGTTCGACGAGGCAGAGGAGCTGGACACCAGGGAGGAGCCGCTGTTACGCCGAGAACCGCTCATCGAGCGCATGGACTTGGAGTCAGCCTCCAGCAACCTGCACAGAGACACGGATCATGAAGAGAGGGATCGGGCTAAAAACCTTTGATTCAACCATTTGTAAAACGTTTAAATGATTCAGCTTCAATCTTTTCCTCCTCCGGTCGCTTTCAAACACACAAATTATTAGAATCACCCTTTTTAAAGGAGCAATATGTAACTCTGACACCTAGTGGTTAAAACGGGTACTGCAGTCCAAATTCTAAACATTATAGAGAGCTGTCTCCCCCCCCCCTCCTCTCTAGAGTGGATGCTCACTCAGGTCACCATGTGGTGGACTCTGAAGCTTCAGTGTTTATCCAGCTCTGCATGGGTCTGTAAACCTTTCTGTGTTCTAACCTCTCTCCATTTTTCAAAAGCATCTCCAATATTGATCCTAGTTTGAGCACGTTTCTGCTCGTGGAGCTTATTAGAAACATGCAGAGGCTTTTTAGGTCGGGTACAATCACTTCTATCTGAACCACTTCTCTTGACCGCTTCCATCACTGCAACACCTGTTGACCTGATAACTGCTCTCATATCTGACAAACTGAGGGGCGTCCAAAACGGCCGTGTGGGGTCGCCTTAGAACCGCCTACCTTCTCTGGTCCAAACAAATCCAGAGCATTCAGGAGCAGAATCTAAAGTTAGAAGGAGGACATACTGGCTGCTGCATTGTTGTCAGAGAAGCCAGCACTTCAACATAGCATGTTTCCTTAATGTCTGATCAGATAGTAAGGTCACTGATCAGCAGATAATGTTACCTTTGCACGGGACAAAATCTTGTTTCACATGTTTACAATCTCATAGCTAAGCTAAGCTAACCGTCTACTGGCTGTTGGTTACATTGAGATTTAAAAATGAGCCACTCTTTTCACCTAACTCTTAAAAAATAGCAAAGAAATATGTTAATATTCCTCGTAAAGATGATTATCTAAAAGCGTTAATCTTTTCCTTTAAATGTTCTTTTCTCGGAGTCGGGGGCAGCGCGAGCGGCGGGATGCAGATATGAAGTGATTAAAGAGACGCTCTCTACCCAGAGGCCGCTCAGCTCAGTCCCACTCTGACTCCTGAATATCTCCAGTCTTTTAAATCACTTTACTCGCACACGTTGACCCCTCTGCTGAAACATGTGATGCTTAAAGAGTCTGGCTCCCTGCACTGAAAATATCTCAGCGAGGAACTTCAGCGTGTGATGTCGCACCACTGCACTGAAACATCTGCTCATTTAGACCCTATGTGAATAATCCTCTATTCATTTAGTTTTTACATACAGGTATTTACTCTTTGCTCACTTATCCTCGTCCTCTTCTTCTCTTTCTTTTAACAGTCAACTTGTTACGGCTGAAAAAGTAATAAAAAGTTAAAAGCTAAAACAGTGTATTATGTAATGAGCTTCCTAAAACACTAACCCACATTACTATTTCTGTTAGCCGCTGGTTTTTGTCGCAGAAGTAGGACAAGCAGATTTGTGATTCTGGGTCAAATTAACATTATCTTCTGTCATTTTATACACGGCTCTTTAGACTGGACAGTGATCCCTCCAAACGGCCTGTGTCCTAATGCTTCCTGAAACCGTATCACACAGTTTCTTCAAGAATGACCGAACTACGGTGGCCCTGAAGTGCAAAGCACAACGACAAACAGAAAACACAAGTTCATGTTTTGAAATCAACACCCGAAAGCAACATATCCTTCCGGTTAAAAAGACGGACAGCGTGTTCGTCCAATCAGCGACATACTTTGTCGACCGCAGGTAGCTACATTTTTTTATTATTTATTGTGTTTTGTGATTTGTCATTCAGGGCCACCGTATTGAACGGCTGCAGACAGACTTCAAGAAGCTGAAATCATTTGAATCCAGGTGGATATTCAAATGATATCTGAGGGTTTGATTTGATTAGGGCTTCATGTTGTATCATCAGAGGTGATTCTAGAGTCTGCTGGGGCCCCAGGCAAGAAATAATTAGGGGCCCTACAACCTGCATTTATTGACCCGACGATTACTCCCCTTTTTGTCCTGTTTCTGTTTTCTCTCCTACAGACGGATAATTCCTTTTCTTTTTTATTTGCTGACCAACAGTTATCAAAGACAGAGAAATCCTTCATTTTAAAGTTGTAACAGCCTGTGTCTTATGTCTCAGACATCATATGTTTATCGTTGCCATGGAAACACCTGATGTTACGTCAAAAGACCGCTGCATAAAGAAGCGTGAGCTGCTACTGAAAGCTGCCGTACTGTTGCTGTTTAAGCTGCTGTGATAAAAACATCATGTAAATTATACTCGGATACTTTAGCTCGTCTCTAAACATATTCTCTTCCTCAGGCCGGTTTCGCCCCAAGTGGACACTGGAGGAACTGCAGTTTTTCTGTACCTCTTCATGGGCTTCATTTTGTCTTACTGGAGGTTACCACTTGGTTAAAACTGATTTTTTTATTTCTTTATTGAGACAGTTAATTAGCTTTGCATGCTAACATTTAAATCTTATGTCGGAGCAGGGTAAATCTTTGTTGACATTACAGTTACAGTATGTTCTTGGTGTTGGTGAAAGCTTGTAAAAACACACACACACACAGACTTCAGCATGTGGAGAGCGTTAAAGGCCTGCTGGGCCTCGTTCTGGTTGCCAGGCTATGAACGGACAAAAAGGAGAAGATTAGCAAACTCTATTAACGGTAATGTTTAACTATAATTACAGCTAATTTCCTTCTGTAATGATGGGATGGACTTTTCATGTGTCCTCTGTGGCTGATCACCATGGCAACACCTGATCTCACCTGTTCTGCTCCTCCAGTTTGGCCAGCAGCTCCAGCTCATCGGGGCTCAGGTTCTCCGAGTCTGCCGGGGAGGCCGCCGGTGCCGACAGCGCTGCATCATGGGAAGAGGAGTCCGGGCTGAGCACAGGGCTGCCCGTCGACAAGGGGTCCGGGTCCAAACCCGTAGGGGAGGAGGGGCACTCGAGCTGAGGGGGAGCCCCAGTAGAGACCTCTCTCTCTGGGCTGCCGCTGGGTAAAGACATGGCGGTGGCGGTGGTGGTGGTGATGGAGAGTGATGGGTGGAGCAGTAAGGGTGTAGTGAGAGGGCGGGTCCAGTCTCCCTCCTCAGCGAGCCTGGCTGACACCGGGAGTGGCCTCGGGTTTGGCCGTGGAGCCGACGTAATCAGAGCTCTTCAAACCTGCAACGAAACACAGGAGGAGGCGGATGAAGATGATTTTATGAAGCAACTTCAAATTTATTCTCCTCAAGGGGAAATTTGGTTTGCAGCCAAGTGAGAACAAGAAACACAGAAACACCAAGAGTCACTGATTAACCTAACGAGCATGTCTGTCATGATCCACACAGAGAGGCTCCTGTCCGATGGGGATTCAAACCAGGAACCTCCTCGCTAACCACTGCATCACCGATGGAGGGATGATTGCAACTGTTGTGGGCTGATGCCCATAGCAATTTGTAGAGGAGAAAGTCAGTCCGGAAAAAGTGGCCAAATTTAAAAAATATATATTTTTGAAAGAAAAAAAAAATACGACGGAGGATTAGGGCCATGTTAAGATTTTACATTTTTTTTCATTTCAAGATTAAACACACAAACACACACACACACACACACACACACACACACACACACACACACACACACACACACACACACATGATCTTGTGATAAGCTGAAGTGTGATTTTGAAAATATTCGATTGAAACATGCTGATACCAGGAGGACTACATTGTCGTAAACAAACACAAACAAATCAAATGACAGAGGGATCAAATCCTCTCCTGTCTTTGAAAATCAGGAGGCGAGGTGTGACATGTTGGATTGTTTAATGAATAGACAGAACTTGCACAAACTGGTCCGACAGGTTTCAATCCACGATACACGATACCTCTCGCTTCAACAGCTGCTTTTGAAGGAGCGGCCCTGAGTCAACGCCATGACGTCGTGCTGAGTCATCAGAGAACACACGGAGATGTTTCCTCCACACTACACTGAGAGTTTCCCCCGCGAGGCCTCCAGAGGAACGACTTTATCATGATGTACAGATATGAGAGGAAAGGAAATCACACTAACTTTAAGTGTTGCATTAAAAGATCAAACCTGCCAGCAGTGTTTCTCACATTCTGACCTGATACGCTGTTATTCATCTTACACCAGCCTCAGGCACGCTGTGGAGTGATTAGAGTGCTTTAAGAGATCAATCAGATCATAAACAGATCCCATGAATCATTGAGGGAACTCACAGAGATGAGGCGGACGTCACAGAGCACAAACAAGTGGAAAAAACTGATGCCAAACAGATTTCACTCTTAGATTATTGTTTGATTGGTGGTGCAGTGGTTAGTGCGCACGCCCCATGTACAGAGGCTACAGTCTTCCAAAGCGGGCGGCCAGGTTCAAATCCAGCCTGTGGCTCCTTTCACGCATGTCATTCCCCACTCTCTCTCTCTCTCCCCGATTTCTGACTCTATCCACTGTCCTATCTCTCCATTAGGACTCCATCCAGGTTTAGCTAAATGAAGTCAAACTACAAAGATAGACAGTATTAGTGTTTACCCCGAGTGAAGGACTTTAAGTATTTCAGGGTCTTGTTGTGTGTTGTGTGATTGGCTCAGCGTCGGCAGTAAAGCGGGCGTTGCACCAAACCGTTGTGGTGAAGAGGGAGCTGAGCCTGAAGGCAAAGCTCTCCATTTTACCGGCCGATCTTCGTCCCAACCCTCACCTGTGGTCATGAGCTTTGGCTGGTGACTGAAGGAATGCGATCGCAGATAAAAGAGGACAAAACTAGTTTTCTCTCCAGAGGGTGGCTGGGCTCTCAGCCGAAGAGAGAGGGGGGAGGAGCTCGGAGTAGTGCTGCCACTCCTTCACATGGAAAGGAGTCAGTTGAGGTGGTTTGGGCATCTGATCAGGATCACCCTTGGACGCCTCCCTTTGGAGGTTTTAGCCCGACTTGGGTAGACCCGGAGTTCGCTGGAGGGATTATCCCCCAGAAAATCCAGAAAACCCCCCAGGAGGAACTAGAAAACGTTTGCTGTGGAGAGGGAAGTCTGACTTTTCCACTGACGTACGGCTCATGTTAGTTATGTTTTTTTCTGTTTTTTGAAAATGACACGTTTTTTTCTGATACGTTTCAGAAAAGAAGAGAAAGAAAGCAACAAGCGAGTGGAAAAGTTGTGAAATGCGAAAAAGAAAACACACCTGGTGGAACATCTCACAGTTAACAGGGTTAACTAGTAACAGGCTGGGTAAAAAGAAAAGCATCCCAGAGAGGCCGAGTCTGTCTGGCCGTAAAGATGGGGAGGGGTTCAGCTCTCTGTGAAAGACAAGAGAACAGTCCTGAGGTCTGACAAGTCATATTCTGACTTTCCCTGGACCCTGGACGCCTCCTCCTCCTCTGGGACAAAAAGGAGAGTGCTGACTCAGTTGTCAGCACTGAGTTCAAAAGCCAGCAGCTGGGATGCTATGAGGCTGCATTAGTGCACATGGCCGGGGTTAGCTGCACATTTGTGAATGCTCCATTAATGCTCAACCATATATACGGGCCAAATAGACAACTTCTATTTTTTAAAATTCTTTTTAGGGTAGGCCTTGTTTATTTCAGAGAGACGATGTGAAACCACATCCTGGAGGTATTAAACAGCACGGCTCTGTAGAAAAAGAGTCTGAGTGATAAACCGGCCTTTCTATCTGCAGTCCCTTAATGTCACATTTAGTTGCTTGGTAATAAGCAGCAACATGTGTAGTCTACAGTTTACTTCCTCTGAAATATGCATACCAAAAGGAGGACCTGTGGAAATAACATCAGGTCACAAAGACAAACTGACCAGATAATGACTTTAATAATACTCTGTTGAATCCAGACACAAATCAAAAACATTCACAGAGCAGCATACCCAGCAGAAACAATAATCCAGTCTATTGATTGACAAACAGCAAACCTATGAGAAGACTCAGAGAACAAAGCACTGAAGAATTGATTTATGTTGTGTCATCGACCATGAAGGGAGAGAGAAGCAGACTGTGTGCAACTACTTTGATGCTTATGATGCAGATTTTTAACATAAACAAAGAGATGAGAAAATTATAGAGAGGAGAGGAGAGGAAAGAGAGGAGAAGACACGAGGAGAGGAGAGGAAAGAGAGGCGAGACATAACAAGAGAGGAGAGAGGAGAGGAGAGGACAGAAAAGGAAAGGAAAGGACACAAGAGGAGAGGACACGAGAAGAGATGGTTTTATTCATTTTGGGCCGAAATCCACACAGGTGCATAATCAAAAACAAAACAAATCAAAAAACAGAAGGAGAAAGGAAAAGAGGATAGATAGGGAAGGAGAAGACGAAACAAGGAAACAAATAGAGGGGAAGAGAGGACACAAGAAAAGAGAAGACACAAGAGGAGAGGAACACAGTAACAGTCTGAAGAGGGAAAACACTACACAGAGAGGAGACAAGGATAGGAGAGGAGAGGAGAGGAGAGGACACGAGAGGACACAAGGGGACACGAGACGACACAAGAGGACACGAGAGGACACTAGGGGACACGAGACAAGAGGAGAGGAGCACAGTAACAGTCTGAAGAGGGAAAACACTACACAGAGAGGAGACAAGGAGAGGAGAGGAGAGGAGAGGAGAGGACACAATAGGACACGAGAGGGCACGAGAGGACATGAGGGGACACGAGAGGACACAAGAGGACACAAGAGGACACGAGGGGACACGAGACAAGAGGAGAGGAGCACAGTAACAGTCTGAAGAGGGAAAACACTACACAGAGAGGAGACAAGGAGAGGAGAGGAGAGGAGAGGACACAATAGGACACGAGAGGGCACGAGAGGACATGAGGGGACACAAGAGGACACAAGAGGACACGAGGGGACACGAGGGGACACGAGACGAGAGGAGAGGAGCACAGTAACAGTGTGAAGAGGGAAAACACTACACAGAGAGGAGACAAGGACGACATTCATGCATAAAAAGCAGCCCAATCAAAAGAGCCATTAACGAGCCACCGAGAGCAATCACATCAGTAAAAGAGCTCAGCCAAAGGATGAGTCTGATGATGTTTTCATATCAAACCACCAGCACACGTGAAGAACGCTAAAGAAGCAGTGGTCACCCGCTCAAGTGAACCTATAGTGATGCGTCACGTCCTCTCTGAGTCTGACTGTGCCGTTACAATCGAAAGCGAGAGCAGTGTCAGTCTGCCTTTTCTTCTCAGATTAAATCCTCTGACAGATGGGGGGGGGGGGGGAGCCTGCAGGCGCTGAAGCATCTGCCATGTCAGTCACACATTCACCTCGGCGCCAGCAGGGAGACGTAAGAGAGCTCCGTTAGTGACAACATTTACATCCCAACTAAATGCTTAGGGGTGCTTTCAAACGTCTGTGATCCTCGAAGCTCCTGGGAGGAACTGACTCCCTGCTGTGCACAAGAGACAACCAATTCAGCGTCTCCGTTGTCGTGATAACTGGCTAAATGCAGTTCCTGCACAAGTACATTACGGTTCCAGTCAATAGCAATGCGTGAGTAGGGTACAGTAAAAGTGGACTCCTAAGTTCAGCTTGTGATTTTTTTTTTTTTTGTGATATCCTTTATTAATCTCTGAGGGAAATTCAGGTTTACAATCTGTTATTTATAGGGACATGCTTCTCACACACATAGGACCGAATCACACGCATGCACAAACAGGACCTGTGGACTTGTGTGGAAAATGTCGACCGGCATGACTCCCACCCTTCATCTGCTTCTCGCTGTAGTTTAGTGGTAACCCCACGTCATCGACGTCCACACAAACGTTCTGGTGTTAGCCTGTTTTGTATGTTTACACCTCACCACTCTGAAGAAGTACATGCATATGTGCATGCTAAGCTCCAAGGAAGTGCTCCTAGTGGCCTAAGATGGTATTGCAGCTCCATGTGACGACACTGGTCACATAGAGACTTTTCCCAATACGCATACATTGTGATAGAGACGTATATAAATCAGGGGATCATTATTTTTTAAGGTGCATAAACTTCCAGATAACAACACTTAAAAGTCTTTATATGTGATTTTTCACACTTAAATGTAATATAAATCAAGTATATCCTCTGAAAATAACTCTGTGAGTCATGACTGTCTACAATGGGTGTAACACCCGAGTCCCACTGTCTGTGATGTTTTCAGAGTTT